TGAAGCACAAACTTCTGAATCCTTTCTGTTTACATTCATTATTCATCGTTTCAACAATGGAAAAGCAGACTTCTTGAAATAGACGGCACAGCTGTCCCTCTGCAGCTCGCAGAGACTCCAAGTGCCTGTCAGTCAGACACCCCGAGAGTCGCCATCACGGCTGTCCTACTTTGAGCTTCCAGGCTCAAAGCTTCAGTCGCAGCGAGGAGAAAATCCTCCATCCGTCACAGTGTGCAGACTTCAAGTGATTTCACTGACTGATGCTGTACGTCTGCAGAGCTGCAGAGAGCGCGTCCACATCCAAGCCCACGGGAGAAAAACTCGCTTTCCTGGACGCTCTGTGCAGGCACGCTCTGTGCAGGCACGCTCATGTTCGGCGACCCCTAGTGACCAAACATATGAAACCAAAACGTACAACTGATGCCAGAGAGCCGAGCGCCGATCACCTGGCTCAGGTGTGTTTACTCTCGTTATCTGCCGAAAGAGTCACATGATGAACCACGAACTGCTGCAGTCATGCAGAAACGTGTGGAGCAGGCATGGGGGCGGGGTCACGGTGCATCCACACCGAACGCGACGACGCGACCAGAGCTTCAGGTTGTCGATGGAGGAGCGCGATGAAGCGAAACTTCAGAAGCAGATTTGCGTCGTGAAAACGCTTTTCTGCCTGATCCGCGCGACCAAGTAGCGCGACTGACACGTTTGAAGCGCAAAGTAAAATACACGCTGCAGTTTTTGTGTCGCATTTTGTGCATTTGCGCTTATCGCGTCTACCGCTCGAGTTGGAAAAATCTGAACTCCAGCGCCAAGTCGCGCCGCGACAACGAATCAGGAGCCTGGTGACGTGATGCTCTGACCTAGTTCAAAGGGGCGGGTCCAGCCAAAGCCCTTCATTCTCGCAGTCAGTAGTTTTCTGACGAGGCAGCAGCTTCTCCCCGAGGCTCTTCCACTGTAAGATCTGTAAATACTTATGTTTTATATATTTATTTTTAATGTTTTTCTGTTTAATATTATTTCAAATACATCTTTGTAATGACTAATGTGTAAGTCTGATTGTGTCAGGATGACATCCAATCACACATCTGCTTACCGGCATCTTTGGCTCGTTTCTCTTTGGCACCTGATGACTTTGAACTTTTCTTGTCCATCTTGGTTTTAATTTTGCACTCCAGTATGAACCCCCCCCACCCCCCCAACCCGAGGGTCACCACAACATAACCTAACA